TGAGGCGTCGACACAAGGATTGAAAAATACAAGAGACAGGAGCCGAAATGAGGCCTGAATTCCGGGCTCGGGGGGGCAGGACTGCAGCCAGGACAGGGCTGTCCCCAAACGGAGGTCTGCTCTGGCAGGGCTGACCACCAGTGCCCCCGGCAAGAACCCGGCCCATGCGCCCTCGTCCGCTCCGGGGGGCACGGGGGGTCTGCGTCGTTGCCCTCGAGGACGGCTGCAGGTGTCACCCGTCTGCCTAGCACTGGTCCATTCCCCACTATTTCCAAAAGCACTGGGCAGTGGGGATGAGGGCAGCTGGAGTCCACCCCAGCTGTCACCCTGCCTGCAGCCACCAACTCCCGGGCACGCTGGTCAGCCAGTGGGCCCCAAGGCAGTGACACTCAGAGAAGGCTCCTGGGACTGTGACAGGTGTGTGGGGGCCCGTCTTTGCCCTGCCCCGTGGCTGTGGCGCCCGACCCGAAGCCACGGGCAGATCCGGACCTCGGCGGCACCCCTGCTGCACACTCGGCCGGCGACTTTTTCCTTGTGCTCCCCAGCCGTCAGGCCAGCTGCTCCCATTGCGTGGAGAGGACAAGCTGCTATGTGGGGGGACTGACCACCCCATGGCTCGTCCCAGCAGGGGACAGCGCCCCCAAAGGAGGGGCGGTCTGGGGAGTTCAGGGCAGCCGTACCAGTGAACTGTTTTCAGGAGCCGGGCACGGCTTGATGACGCTGGCAGGATGGGTAACCAGGTCTGGGGACACTGAGGGACACCGTACTTGTCCACTGCAAGCCAGCAGACCCCAGGCAGGTAGGGAGGTTAGGTGCGGGCCTGGGAAAGCTGACCACATAGATGCAGAGAGGGCAGCTGGGCATGGGTGTGGTCAGGGTGGGACAGTCCTGTCCCTAAGGGTCTCGGGAGCAGCCCGTGGGAACATCCGGGCACCCGGGGTGGGAGGGGGCAGCCTCACCATCCGCCCAGCGTTGGGCAGCGTCTCTTGGGCCAGAGAAGCTGCTCCTGGTGCCCAGAGTGCCTGGCCCTTCTCTCACTCCCTGACCTTGACCTCCTCGCCCAAGGCCCCTCGATGCCACTCTCAGCAAGGCCAGCGGCCCAGGCAGGAGCCTAGGCGACCGGGATTCAATCCCAGGTCGGAGCTCCCCGTCTCATGGCCCACAAGGTGACGGAGGGCCTGGGCCTCAGCAGGCCCATCCGTAAAAGGGGCGGAAGGACACAGCTCAGCTGCGGGGCCCGTGCAGGTGGACGGGCCAGTGCCCTGGAGGCAGCGCGTGGCACGAGGCCCCTGGCCCAGCACCGGCGCCATCCACAGGCAGGGCGTGGGGAAGCAGCTCGGAGGGCAGGCCCAGCGGCTGCCACCCGCTCGGACCCTGACGCTGCCTGGCGGTCTGCACCTCGGTTCAGTTCTGAGAAACGGGAGGCCTGCCCTCACCTCCACCGGGGCAGGGCTGGGGGCAGCAGCCAGCCCCAGTGCTGGGAGTTTAAGGGGGTGCTCAGGCCTCATCCGCCTGCCCTCCTCTCCCTGAAGGGGTGCACGGTCAGGGCCAGTCTGACCTGAGAGAGGATGACCCAGCAGGGGTGGCCCCCACGTACGGAGGCTGCCAGGATGCCGGCTTGGCTGCGTCCAGCCTGGGTGGGGTGGCGACAGCGGGGCCTGACCAGCACGGTGCGTTGGGAGAGTTTGGCCCCCGAGAAGCCCGGGCCTTCCCCGCAGAGAGGCAGGAGGTGGTGCAGGAGCAGAGGTGCCACCGGGCTGTTCCAGGGCCATGAGCCACTGTGGGGACACCGACAGTTCCAACTCAGAGCTGGGGGCATCTCGGCAGGTGGGCAGCCCGGGGAGGTGCCCACTGCCATGGGTGGCTGTACTCTGGAGGACGACCCCACGGCAAGTCACGCGTCCCTGCTGCCCGGTCCCCTCTCCATCCACTGCCCCCTCCGCAGCTGCCCCTCGCCTCCCTCACCTAGGGCTTTTTTTGCCAATTTCCTGCTGTTCCTCTTCCCCAACCCTTCTCCCTCTGAAGGGCCAGATGGCCTGGAGGTGCCTCGGGAGCTGTGAGAGAGGCCAGCTCCGTCCCTGGGCTGCTGCCCCAGCCAGGCGCCTGCCCCCTCCTGCCAGCATTCCGGCAGGCCGAGCGGCCGAGGGGTCTGAGGGGAGGAGGGGTGGCTGAGCAGCAGGAGGGGAGGGCAGGCCTCTCAGTGGCCAGGGGGCCTGGGGCAGCTGCCCAGTGAGCCACGTCTTGGCCCTGCCTCGGGCTGTAGGCAGATATGGAGCCAGTTCAGAGAAGTGACCTGCAGCACAGCAGGCCACTGCTCCCGCTGGCCAGACAGTCCTCTGTAGGCTTCAAAGGGGACACGCGGGACCCCCGGGCTGCCCTCTGGCCAGGCAGGGTGGCCAGCCGAGAAGGGAGTGGAGGCAGGAGCAACTCAGTGCCCATTTCCGAGGCCCGAGCCCCAGGAGAGTGCGGGTGGGCAGGGCCCCCCAACCCTGGGTGGTGAGGCCCAGGGGTCGTCTGCCCCTCCTGGCCCTGGGCTGGACAGCAGACAGTTACGCCCTGACCAGCTGCCTGCCCCAAACCTGGCAAGTGGAGAGGGGACACACAAATCCTCTGCTGCGGGCTGGTGTCCCTCACTGTGCCACAGGCTGATGACTCTGTGGCCCCTGGTTGCTGCTGGGCCCTCTGGTCAGCAAAAGCCGGGGGCCCAGTCAGGCTCAGAGGCAGATCCTGAAAGCTCTCGTCACAAGGAGAAAAGCTTTTTCTCTCTCTCTTTTCTCTGCGAGGAGACAGGTGGTGGCTGGGCCCCTCGCTTCGCCGTGCGTGAGAACCTAACCGTCCAGCTGCGTGCCTTAAACGTCTGTGGTGACGGATGCCGACCGTTTCTGGGCAGAACTGGGAAGAAGGCTCAGAGGCAGGTAGAGGAACCCCAGGAAGTGGCCCTGGAGTGGGGGTCCTGGGCGGGGGGTGCTCTCCCGTTGGGCCCGGCTCCCCTGCTCCGTTTTTGCCAAGGAGGTCATACAACGTCTGCTGACCCCTGACCCCGCCTCTGTGTCCACGCTGGGCGCTGGGCGGGGCTGAGGCCTTTGTGCCCTTGTGAAGAGGGGGGGGAGGGAAAGGGAGCAGGCGGAGGGGGGAGGGGACAGGAGCGGAGGCCACAGCTGAGGCCCAGGGGCCCCTCTAATGGAGACCGGCTCTGTGGGCCTCGCCAGCTGCCCGCCGGCCGGCCCGGAATGGACCCTGCCCATGGAGACTGCAGAGAAGGAGCAGAGACCAGAGATGCCACACTAGACCTCCCCTACCCAGAAACGGGGTGACGCAGCTGCTGCTCGAGGCGGTGACGGCGTCAGGCCTGGAAGGCACGGGGACGGTGGTACCTCAGGGTGTGGAGGCCCCAGCCGGCAGCCCTGCCCTGGGAGCTGGCGGATGAACCCGGCTGCGCCCTGGCCCCCCAGCTGAGGTGCGGGGCCTTCCCCGAGGGCGCCAGTGGCTCCTGCTTACGCCGGGGTGCGAGGCTGGGCTCTCACCTCATGGCGGCTGGTTGATAGGACTCAGGGGCAGGAGAGGTGGGCTCGGGGTGCCCCGCCACCCCAAACCAAACGGTGCGGGCATTCCAAGCTGTTCTCGGCAGCCCGGCTTAGAGCCAGAGACACAGACTGTGGCTGAAGACAGGAGTCCCTTCTCCCCGGTCTGGAGACCAGAAATCCAGACTCGAGGTGCTGCAAGGCCATGCTCCCTCGGGAAGGTCCAGGGGAGGCTCCGTCCTGCCTCTTGCCGCTTCCGGTGGCCTCAGGAGTCCCCTGGCTTGTGGCCACATCACCCAATGTCTGCCTCAGTGCCCACGCGGCCTCTTCTCTCCGCGCCTGTGTCCGGACTTCTCCCTCCTCATCAGGACACAGCGAGGCGGGAGTGGCCCGCCTCACCCAGGATGGCCTCATAGTCACCTGACCCCGTCTGCAAAGACCCCGTTTCCAAATAAGGCCACTTTCACAGGTCCCCAGGGGACACTAATTTTGTACAGACATTGTTCGACTCCCCAATACCCCCAAATATGGTCTCTGCTTGACCCCCCAGGAGGAGTGCTGAGGTGGTCTCCTTCCCTCAGGACTGGTCGTCTGGTCCCTCTGGGTTGGGCGCCCCCGAAGCTCTGGGGGCACTGTTGACTTGTCCTCCCAGAAGTCAGACAGCGCTCCAGCCCGACAATTCCCACTGTGGGTGGGAAAACCCAAGAGAGCAATAGGGTGGAGGGAGGGGCTGGGGAGGGGGCTTCGCACGGGCCAGAGAGCGCCTGCTGGTCATCAGGGCTGCCGTTGGGTGGCCTCGGAGGAAGAAGCCTGAGCTGGAGACATGGGGACGGAGAAAGGACCTGCGTAGCTGACCGAGGGCAGCAGCAGAGGGAAGAGGTGGGACCTCCCGGGAGTGACAGTGTTCGCTCTGAAGGCTGGGAAAGGTGGCTGCCTGTCCAAGAGAGGGGTGGCCAGGTTGGGGACTTGGAAATAGGGCCACTGTCTCTCGCCAGTGCCCCCAGCTGCCTTTGACTTTCAGGCTCCTGGGTTGGGGGCCAGAGGAAGGGGCATCGCTTGGCCTTAGCCTGCTGACCTCTGGCGGGTCTCAGCCTGACGCCTGACCCTCTGCAGCGTGAGGTGGCGCACGGGGAGCCCCACACACCCACTCTGCTGCCCTCCGACCTGTGATGTTTCCTGGGCAACTGACGTACTCCAGCCTGTCTGCCTGGCGCGCGCACATCCCCCAGTGCCACTGCCTGGCTCCGGGCACGCTCGCCCGTTGGCACCCATGGGCCAGCAGGTGTGGTTGAGCATAGCCCGCTGCCAGCGGCATCAGGAGGCTGGACTCCAGGGAGGAGGTGCCCAGCCCTCGAGGCCGTCCTCGCCCGGCAAGCGGGCCTGGGTTGGACACCCTGAGTGGGTGCTGTGCTATCCCGCCACCTGGCAAGGGACGTGGCTGGCAGCCCTGCACAGTGAGCACGGGTCCCCGGCTGCCCGTTTCACGTGGAAATGTGAAGGGACTGTTCTGCCTGCCAGCTTCAGGCCCTGCTCTGCCCGCGTGCGCTGTCCTGGCCCCATCTGCAGGGTTGGTTCTGATAGCAGAACCAACCCCAAGAAGCCAAGGGAGGCTGTAGGGAAGCCAGGTGGGGCTGGGACGCCCAGTGGGATGCCCGCTTCCTAGTGGTACAGGGCACCAGCGAGGGACCGGCCCTGCCGGGCTGGCCGCAGACACCCCCGACTCTGGGCCGGGTGCCCTGGAGGGCAGGTGTCTCCCTTAACGGTAGACTCTGCCAGAGCGCCCACAGGGTGGGGCCCGACACCCCCACCCACTCGAGAACTTTCTGCCCGGGGGGGCGGCGGTGAGGGCTCCCCCAGAACGCTGAGATAGTCTGTAAACGTGAATTTGGGCTCCTTGAAAGCTTTTTCTGCGGCATCAGCGTCAGCTCCAATCAGAAAATCTCCATCAGACTCCAGCGCCCGTCACTGCAGCAGAAAGTTCGGAAAACGTGATCCTTTCCATCAGCACCAGCCTGTGAACTCCCTCCGGCCCCTCCGCGGCCGGTCTCGCTGCTGATGCGGGACAGCGGGGTGAGGCGGGTGGCCCGGGGTGCGCACTTGGGCTCCACCTCCAGAAGGTCCTGTGCAGGCGGGGTGGGGGTGGGTGGCAGCTGTCGGAAAGCAGGGGCCGGGGGTGGGGGGCTTCCTGACTGGCACCTGCTGTGTGCCTGGCGCGGGGTGGCCCCAGCTCTGTTCCCCGAGGAAGTGTCCCAGGCCGTAGGCCCCAGTGGCGATGGGGGTTAATCCCCGGCAACTGGAGGAAACCAGAGAGGAGGAGGTCCCCAGGAGGCTGTCACACATCGCCCTGGCTCTGCCCGCCGCAGAGTGCTGGCCCCAAGGGCCTCTGCTCTGCCAGTCTGCTCAGGCCTGCCCCGGGGTCTAGGTCCCCTTCCCTGGCAGCCAAGGCAAGTGAGGCCCACTGGGGTGGCTAAGGCCAAAGAAAGAATGGGTGCCCCCTTCTGAACCGAAGGCCAGAGCCAGATTCAGCCAGGCCCTCACCCTTCCCCACCTCCCTGGGGGCCCGCACCTGCCCCCAGGCCAGGCCAGCACCCTGGGTCCATCCAAGACCCCTCCCTGCTCCTGCCTTGCTCCGCCCTTCTTGGTCAGAGAGCGAGCCATGTGAGGTCTGCAGAAGGGGCTGAAGGGGCCAGCGTGGCCTCGACTATGAAGACCCTGGTGCTGGGCCCTGGCCCCACTCAGGAGCACCAGCTGCTCACACGGATGTCCCACAGCTTCCCAGCATGGCCCGGGAGCTGGGCACACACCGGCCCTCTGCCTGGCGGAGCCTTCCTCTGCCTCAGGGAGGCCTGGAGCCATTCCTCCTGGAAGTCCCAAAGGCTGGCTTGCAGTGTGGTGACACTTCCAGGAAAGGCTCCAAAGCCAGGGCCAGCCGGGACTGTGTCAGGGAGCCCCAGACACAGCTGCTTGGGAGTCCTCGGTCAGCTGGCACCCACGATGGGCCAGACCCGGAGTCCCCATACCTGGGAGCGGGCCCTGCCGCAGGTCGCCTCCCTCCGTGGCCCCCAGGGGCAGCTACCGCAACGGCTCCGTTGTTTCGCACGCGACGTCTGCTTTCCAGCAGTTGGGAGGCTCTGGGGGAAGGACCCTGTCTCGTCCCCCGGGGGTCTCCAGCATCTAGAGAAGTCCTTGGCGCAGGCAGGTGCTCAGGGAATGTTTGGTGAACCGCCTGCCCCCCGCTCTGGAGGTCCACACTGGCAGCTGGACGGGCAACCTCCCAACCTCCGTGCCACAAGACGACCGCTCGCCGGGGAGGAGGGGTCCTCTGCTCAGGGATGGGAGGCTGCGCTACAGGAAGGTGCCAGGATTCCAGGCTCGGGGGAGGCAGGGCTGCAGCAGAGAGGGGCTGAGGTGACTCCTGTGGAGGGGGCCCAAAGCGGAGCCCCAACGCTGCTGGGAAAGGCCGAGTCCCAGCACCCGGGAGACACCTGCCTGTTGCCCACAGACAGGGGCTGCCCACCACCCGGTCTGGAAAGGGTGGGGTCACCCCAGGGCCCACCTCTGGGGGCCCCCAGGGCAGGCG